GTGTGTGTCCCTGGCCATAGGATTTGTCACCCCATCTCTGTGGGCCTTCGGAAGATGAGTAGAGTTGGGAGGATGAAATGATCCCAGGTCCTCTTAGGATTCCACCAGGATTCGCAGCGTTGATTGGAAGTGGCTGCCGCGGGAAGAGAGAGCAAAGTGTGGTCCCAGTGTTGCTGTGTCTGACGGTCTGACGCGTGTGGATGTGCCAGACAGTGTAATCTTGAATCCACCCAGATGGCTCTTCATTTCATCTCACCATAAGCAGCATGGCAGGGGCAGAGGGTATAAAATGAACAAATATGCTATTTTCTTTGAAAAGCTACAGACTAAAAGAATATATGTGTGCACGTACATACACACACACATATATATAACATCTCTTTATATATATACATGCATTTATATACATGCACACCTTTTATAGATATATGTAAAAATAAAACGAATTTGTTCCTTGGTTTGGGGTTGTAGAGTCTAAACAGGAAATGGCTTTGTTAGTATCTGGCCACTTCCTGCAGCATGCTTTATCTTATTTCCCTTCTTTGCCTTTTGATGACATTTTGGGCAGATTCCATAGCTGTCCGATCCGTTTTACTCCTTCTTGACAATCTGAAGTCCCTTTCTGGCATTCAAAAGCCCAGTTCTGTCCTTTTAAAAACTCTCAGATGACATCTAATTTAAGTCTTCTCTTACTCACTCAGAGCAGGTTTAACTTGTGTCTTGGTGACCCGTGGGGACCAGTGTGATCCATTCTCTCTGTCACCTTCCCCCATCCTGCTTCATGTCCCCCCAGGGTTGGGAGAGGTAAGGTCAGGCATTGGCCTTTGCAAGGGGAAGGGAGGCAACGGGCACACGGCTGCTGGCTCGTCAGGCTGGCATCCACGCCCTTGGCTGTAACAGGTGTCCAGATGCCACAGGAAGCACGTTGTAGGTTGCTCCTGGGACCTGCTGCCGTGCGCCAACACCCCACCTCCAGCATGGGGATTCCTGCTGTGCAGTTTCCTAACACAAGGGCCACATTTTTCCGGGTGGCTCTTGGCAACCCCTTTTTTAACCCCTGTCCCTCTGAGGTCAGTCTACAAGCATCCAGCCTTCCTGGGCAGGACCTCATCAAGTTACCTCTCGCTTGGCTGTCCTCTGCGCCTGCAGCTTGGTCCACAGAAAACTCTCCTACACTTGTCGAGCCCAACACTCTTCTGATGCTGCCCGATGGGCTCTCATTGCTATCCTGGGTCTCTGGGCAGCCCTGTGTCCCCAGAGTCCTTCGGGTGCCAAGCGGGTTTCAGTCTCCATCCACATATGTCCTGCCAAGGACACTCACTCTGTGCTTCACGTGGACCCCAGGCTGCTGTGATCCTGTGGCACAGTGACACCCAGTGGGGACTGGGATTCCAGCCTCCCCTCTCGCAGCCACACCAGGATCTACAGGTAATGCTCTTCAAGCCCTTCCTCCAGGACTTGGGATGAGAAACGCCGAGAACTTCCTAGTCATGTACTGACACTCCGTTCACGCTTCCAGAGTTCTGTCACTCAGCCTGGGTGGCCCAGCGGACTTCAGCTCCCCCTTAGAATGTGTCAGTTCTCATCTATTGTCCTCACTTGGAGCCTAGATTCCGGGACAACAGGACACATCTCATTAAATACCAACTACTCTGAACCACGTTGATAGGTGTGAGTGGAGCCAGACACTACGTCAGCTCAAGGGCAGGAGGAGAGGCCAGGCGTCCGGGAGGAGTGGGTTCTGGAAACACAGTGAGGAGGAAGCTCCAGGAAGAGGCGTGAAAACAAGCTTGACGACAGAGAGTTGGGTGAACCCAAAGCACAGCAATTTGCGGGTCAGATCTTGTGGGGGAGAAGCGGGGAGTCAAGACTGCAGAGGGCTCCCCCGGGAGCCAGAGCATAGGGCGGTGGGGCTGTTACTGGGAGGGGGCAAATGAGAATTACCTCGGTTCTTAGTCACCTGAAAAAAAAAAAAGAATTTTTAATGAGAGACAGAAAGTGTCATATAAACAAGATTTTATTAGTCAAGTAAAAGAGTGGTAAAACATAGAGCAGTCCCAACCCAGAATTGGGAGCTGGCCAGTCCAAGAGAGGAACGATGGTGCCACACCTTTGTTTTTCTTGCTTTTTAAAAAAATTTTTTTTTTATTGAAGTATAGTTAGTTTACAATGCTGTGCAAGTTGTCTTTTTTTGTGGTTTTCATATATATATATTTTTTTAATGGAAGTACTGGGGATTGAACCCAGGACGTCGTGAAAGCTAAGCGTGCGCTCTTACCACTGAGCTGCACCCTGCTCCCCCCTTTCCTGCTTTTTATATCCTGGCTTAGGGGCGTTTTCATGACTGACTGATACATGGCTCAGGTTGTCTGAGGGATCAGGCTGACTGGCAGCTCTGGTTCCTTGAGCTCAGGCGTGCCCATCCCCTTTTGGGCAGGTTCTTACCGATGAAGCACACAGAGAAACCCACGGGAGGGGCTCAGACTGTAATGTTAATTACATTGCAATGAGCATCCGGTCAGGTTAAGCCGGGTCCTTCCCTCTATTGCACAGATGCAGCAGTGGATCCCAGCTGGCTTCCTTGCTGGCCCTCATTTAGGGAACGTTTTTAGAGCCCCTTATCCCGCGTGCAGACACATTGTTATTTTCTGGGTTGCTCCCTTCCCCCTTCCTTTCCCCTTGCCCGGTGCTCATTTCTGTCTAACTGCCTAACAGGGCCACTGAAGGGCTGTACGTAGAGGGGTGCATTTGCTCATCAGCAGGGTCCTAGGCTGGGGATCTGGGAGAGCAGTTAAGAGACTTGCGCCAGACCTAGATGGGAGATAACAAAGGCTTGCTTTAGGAGGATAGACTTGGAGAGGAGGGCTGGCTGGTGAATGATCTTCAGACAGAGCCTAGAAATTGACTAGCTCGGTGGCACCCAGGGCTATGGGTGAGTGGGTGGGGGTGAAATCTTGTCCAGGCCCCTCAGGTAAGCCTATTTACCTTCAAAATTTTACCTTCTTACATCTCCCTCAGATCCCCAGTTATCCTGTGTTCTCTTCACCTTCTGTGTTCCCCTCTGGAGGAGTGACAGCCAGTGGTAAAAGGATGGCAAAGTATTTGTTGGTGGTGGATCAAGTTCATATGGCCACAGTCCACTCTTGGCCACCTCAGTGAGACTGAGAGAAGTAGGTATATGAAAACTCTAACCTGAGAAAATGCAGGGAACTCTTATGTTTAAGTAGACATTGTTTGCAACTCATTTGGCAATTAATCATGAACTATCTGTGACATTTCTTCTCTAGTTATCTGAAATTGTTATTTAAGTCTATAAATCCACTTGCCCTATCCCTTGGGGCTCTGCTCTTCGGTTTCCAAGGTGACAGCTAGCTGGCAGGTGGATTAACTCATGCTAAGCTGTTAGTTACTACCCTAGAAGGCAACTCTGAGTAACGCCATGCATTTTAAACCTAGTAACATTCAGGCTTCTTTTAGAAGAGGGGGGAAAAAAAACTTCAGTCCCAAAGAATTGGCCTAGATAATTTTAAATTACAACATTAATTAAATAAGTGTGTAGAACATTTGAATTTGCCAAATAGGTTCCTTTACTTTATGTACTTTAATTCAGATTGAATAAGACTCTGAACCCTCATCCTGCCAGGCCAGCAGGAAATTGAATCTTCATCTTATTAGGACTCGCTGCTGCTCAGCTGACACCGCCACTAAAGGTCACGTAAAGGGCTTAGGAGGCTCGTAGACAGTGACAAAGCATGGCAGTCATTGTCCCTGCTGGTAATCATTGAGATGGCTCATCCGGGTTCCCAGCGCAACTTAAACCCTACTGCTCTGCTCCTCTCAGACCATGTTTGGGGCCCAGGAATTGGGCCCGAGACCCTAGTAGCTAATTCACCAAGGGGTATCTCTTCAAGGGTTAGCTCCTTAATAAGGGAAGCTTTCTCAAAAATCCCTGTGCACTGTGGTCTTCCAGGAGTGTTACCGAGTCCAAACTCGTTCTGCTCGCTGCACAACAGGCCAATAAATTGGGAGATGAGCTGTTGGGGCAAGGAATAGTGACTTTACTGTGAAAGCCAGCAGACTGAGAAGATGCGGGGCTACTGTCGTGGAAAACCATCTTCCCCAAGTCAGAATTTAAGTCCCTTTTATATTAAAAAGAGGAGGGGATGTGGTTGGTTGTTGCAAACTTCTTGGTGTCAGGATCCTTTGTTCTTGCAGCTGTCCACATAGGTCAGGTCATGGTGTCCCTGTAGACTCCAACAAGACAAATGTTGTTTTCTCTTCTGCAACTTTTTATCTTTATATGAATGGTAAAGTGTTATACGCTTAAAGGTCAGAGCCTTGAGAATGGGCTTCCCTATATATTTCAGGCTAAAGGCAGCATCCTTTTACAAAAGGTGCAGAGCCAGCATGACTCAGCACAGGAAACAGAGCAAGGGTTAGAGTCAAAGGAATAGATCTCATATGAAGTCAGATTTGCGCTTCCCTGTTACAGTAGCTCCATTCATGGCCCCACAAGTGCCCCTGATGTGAGAGAGCACTGAGCACCAGATTAACGTCTGAAGCACGCAGACTGCAAACAGCTTAACATCCTGACAATTCTCTCACCTCTTTTACAATCATAAAACGTAGACATGTGTTTTAATGCCTCTTGCTCTTGGCGCAATAATGAACATAAAAAGTTATTAATGAAATAGAAACAAAAATACAACCCAAGAAAATGTTCATTAACAATATTACTCATATGTGATGATGATATTTGAAAAAAAAATTGTTCCAGGCAGCACTGTGGCTCTGACTACTATGACACAGCCCTTTTGAGATCAGCATGAGTGTGCCATTAAGTGTTGTCTGATGATGACTCAATTTGCCCGCAGAATTTCCTTTCAGACAGTCAGCTACGATGCTCTTTGGATTCCACATTGTGCAAAAATGATTATTTATGTAATAAGCATGCTGTACTGTTTTTCCACTTTTTCTGGAACAATTAAAAATTAAAGGAGTGCCAGTTGGTACCAACTCCATCACTGACACAAACACAAAGCTTGGACACAGAAATCATGGGGTAGTGTTTGGTTATTAGATGGTCATTAAGATAAGCTGTTGTATATTCACCATTTTAAAACATAATTGAAATGCAAATAGAAAATTAAGAATTTTTGTTTTTGGATTGAGTGC